TTTGACCAAATATTATACATAAATCTTGAAATTTTATTGGTCAGATTTTTTTTTAATATAAAATTTTTTTTTTGATTTTTTTTTTTTTTAATATAAAAAAAATTTTTTTTATCACCTCCTCCTATCTTAGCTAAACTATGTTATGTTAAACAAATAATCTACTTGGTTAGCCTAATTGTAAAATAATAAAAATTACAGTAGTTGAATTTAAAACATTTCTAATAATATTAAAAATGAGTTAAATATAAATACTGATTTAATAATGTTCAAGTAAAAACTTACTAAATCACAACTGCGAGGCTTAGACAAGTATATGCTTACATACTATTTGTGTTCATCCTTCATCTCTTTGTATCGAATAAATATATCAGATGACTATAATCATTAAGCTAAGCAGAATTAGCAAATTATGTTTTATAATTATCATTATATTTTAATATTATAATATATTAAATAAAATACATTAGTAGAGGCTAAGAAATTCATATAAAATAGAATTACCAAGGTGATGTTGAAGCCTTAGGTGAACAGCCTTGAAAAATATAATTTATAAGTGTAGCTGGTCATACTGTATGTATAGAGTAAGTTAAATCTTGTAAGAATGATAATTGAAATATTATTAGAATATTAATTTTGATCAGTTTACAATAACCATTCTGATTATTTAAGCATAATTTTATTTTAATTAAATGATACAGTTTTTTGACATCAAAATATCAATATGTCAAAAAACTGTCAGTTAATGACTTTGGACTTTAATGTAATCTTAAAGAACCAAACAAGATATGAAAGTTAGAACAGCTATTCCTTTATAAATAAATGCTTTAAGATAAATTATTTGATTCTAAGTTTAAGGAAAAATAATTTAAGAAATGTATATGGGATCGCGTGATAATATTGGATTTTTAATATTATGCTTATTTTTGTAGTGCAACCATCGTTTAGATTTTAAATATATGCTTAAGTCTACATTTTCTGAGAGTTAATGGAAATTTTAAAGGTGAAATTAGTGATATTATATATTTTACATCACTTTGTTCAGGGTAAATGTCAAAGCCACTGGCAAAAATCAGTAAATTTTGTTTTCCAACGCGTCCATTTATCAAGAAATAGAATTCCAAATACAATTAACTACATATTTGCAAGCAAATTAGCTTGTAAATGAAACCTAAACTATATAAATTATTAATATACAGAAACCTATATACTGTAAATTATTAATATACGGAAACCTATATAACCTTACAGCGCAAATATTGTATAGTCAGACCTCTCTAATTATAACCCTTCCTAAATGCATGTTCAGCTAGCCCCGATGATATGCATTTAGAGAGGATTGACTATATAAAGTTTAATATTGAAATGGTTAATTATTGGATTTCAGATATATTGCTTTTACTATACTTAATGCGTAATAAGCGTCTAAGTTTAATATGGTAGATTCTATTTCAACAGATACACAAGAAAATAACTGATTTTATTTCCTACTACCTAGATACTTTTTTCTTAGTGTCCAAATAATAGTCAAAGGTGTAATTTGAATTATAGCCTGAATTATATGTTTTAACTCTGACCATTATTGGTATGTACGTTATTTTGCGGTTTGTAAGTGGAATATAATTTAAGTGGATTTGGAATTTCCTAATAGGATCAGAGAGTAGGTTTATATAAAATAATTCTACTTTATTATATTTCTCCTTTGATTAAGAAATTCTATTTAATTTCATTCCAATTTGCAACATTTACAAAACATTACAAATAATTAAATAATAAAGAAATAAAGAAATACTGTTTTTTTTTCTTCTCATATTATAAAATTATCGTCTATCACGAGTGTCCTGAGAAATATTTGATACATCTTAATTGTTTGTATAATACTATAATAATATTCTTTCTTTCAAACGAATGTTTTTTTTTTTGAATATATTGTATAAAATTGCACAATCTGGCCAATATAGGTAGACCTTGCATCACTTTGTACATATATATGCATATAAAAAAACCTATTTCTTAAAACAACTATTTCTTTTAGCATATTTCGTTTTACAATACGTAAAAAATGTCAGACGAAGAAATTACTAAAATCATTAGCAATTCAGGTCAATTGAGTTTTAAAGATTATGAAAAATTATCAGATAAGAAAGATTTTAAGTGAATATTTATGCTTGGTTATTGTTATGACATGGAATTAATGTTGAAAAGGATAAGAACAAGGCATTCACATACTATCAAAAATCTACAGAGTTAAATAATCCTTATGGGATGTATTGAGTCAGTCAATGTTATCATCACGGAATTGGGTTAAAAGGGACGAATTCCATACATTTACTTTGTATCAAAAATCAGCAAACGCAGGAAATTCTAACGGAATGTATCAAGTTTGCGTTTGTTATTATTTAGAAATTGGAGTTGAAACAGATAAACAAAAAGCATTTGAACATTACAAAAGTTCTGCTAAGGTAGGCAATTCAAAAGGATTCTCTAAGATAGTCGAGTTATCTGATGTTATGGGACTTGCTGATGGAATGTTTCAAGTTGGCTATTGTTATCTTCATGAAGTTGGAATTGAAAAAGATGACCACCAGGCACTTATTTGGTATAAAAAATCAGCAGATATGAATAATTCTGAAATCTTTAAAACTGCTGTTTGTTACGATTACGTAATTGGTGTAAAAGGAATGTACAAAATTTTAAAGAAGGGATTAAAAAGTAAGTTAATATTAATTAATCTACGGTAATTTTCAGTAATAGAAATAAATATACTACTTGCTTATTTATATAATATATATATAATTTTAATTATCAGGGAATAAGCTAAGAATATAATTAATTAATCTGCATATTAAAATCTGCAATTTAAGCTTATCAATATTCATTCGTTTATATTGGCCCGTGAGTATAAGATGATGGTGTTTCGATACGCTAAAAAGGGAAGTCTTCATAAAATATTTAAAAAATAATTTTAGAAAACTTACATGGCAAGATAAAATATTTCAGAATATTTAGATAAGATTCACAGATTCGCAGGATACATTCATGCTGACTTTCACAGTGGTAATATCTTACAAGGTAAACGCACTTATAAAAGTGTGCAATCTTATATCGCAGATCTAGGATTGTCTAGAAAGGATGAAAATATTTTAGAAGGCGATATTTACGGTGTTATGCCCTATGTTGCTCCTGAAGTTTTATCAAATAGAAAACTTACACGAGCGGCTGATATTTATGGCTTTGGTGTTATCATGGCAGAAATGTCAACTGGACAAAGATCTTTTGATGAGTGTGATTTCGATACTAAACTTGCTGTAAAAATTTGCAGAGAGACTAGAGTTTGTTCCTATAACTCCTGATTGCTATGTTGAATTAGCTAAGCAATGCATGAATTTCGATCCACAAAAACGACCTTGATGCATTAGATGTTTATAAAAAATTTTCTGATTGGCTTGAGGATAAAAATGAAATTAAAGAGCAATTCTTAGATGTTGATAAAGTAATTAAAACATTGCCAATAAACTCATCAAGCCATCCGATAAAGTAATTAAAACATTGCCAATAAACTCATCAAGCCATCCGGATCATATGTACACCAGCAAAATTATTAGTACAAAATTGATTTCAGATGCGATTAAAGAAGGTAGGTATAATTTATTTTTTAATTTATGTCGGGGATGATGCTGAAATTTTAACTTATTTTAATATGAAATTTTAAAAATTTTTTAGCCCTTTCTTTACAGCTTTTTTTTTATAGTTAGGTTAGGGTTTAGGGTTAGTGTTTATAATAAAAGAGTATAGGTGGGTTTTAGTAGGGTTTGTATTTTTAAATCGAGATCTCGAATTTCAGCATCATCCCCGACAAGTTATATATTAAATTATTTGCTATTTGTTTAAGAATAACGAAACCTTTCTTATTTAGATTTGTCTCAAGTCGATTCTACTCAAATTAAATTTGATATTCCTAATAATAATTTGTAAGTTTGAATAAATTAAATTATAAATATATTTATAATAGGCCATACAAAGTTAATTACTTGGTTTTCATAAAATGAAATTTTGAATTAGACCTATTCAGCCAGCTTTTTTAAAAAAAAATTTTTTTATAAAAATCTACTCAGTTATTAAAACATATAAAAAAAATTTTTTTAAAGTTTTCAAACTTTGACCTGGTTAGGTTATAAGAGCTAATTTATATAATTTTATATGACCTTAAATTAATATAAAGAAAATTTAAATTACTTTCAAACTTTTAATCTGAATAATAATTACTTTTTAACCTAAGTAATCTTTTGATCTGAATTTTTGTCTTAAATAATCAATTTTTTGACTTGAATAAATAAATATTTTTGTATTTACTATAAAGAGAATTTAAATATCTTGACCCAATTATAATATAACTTTTATACTTTATCTTGCATGTGATATAATTCTATATCTTATAATGATATCATAAAAACATATTTTAATATTAGAATAGCATTTAGATTTTGAAGACCCTTTCTATAATAGATTCTTGTGATATAAAACTAAGTTTAACATTAAAACATATGCTGCCATTATTCATATGACTTTTTTATATATGTTGCAAGTGGAAATAAAGTTTAAGTAGTTGTTACATATTATAAATCTACGCCTAATCCTAATATCTTTAATAACTTTTAAATAATTAATCTTATTTAAAATAAAATCTTAAATTTAATTAATCAAATATGATCTAATTTTGAATTTAATTTAAAATTTTATAAATCAAATACATTCTAATTTGAATTTAATTTGATCCAAATATTTAATCAAATCAAATTAAGTCAAGAAACTCTAAAGTTATTTTATTTGGCTTATAGCTTTAAATAATACAGTAAAAATTAATTGAATTAATAAAACGTTTAATTTTTTACTTTTTGCATTATTCGACCTTATAAATTATAAACTAATTATTATTTTTTTATTAAAAATGTCAGAATTGTGTGTACAGTATAGAAGGATAGGACTTTATTAAGAATAATTTCTTATAATTTTGATAGTTTAAATGGATTATGAAATTTATTATCAATTATAGTCGAATTCATCTAAATATTTTGATAAATCAAAATTGATATCTTGGGAAACTTGCTTGATACAATTATAACTTACATTACATCGATATGCACGACTTCCCAGGCGATCATATGGAACTGTGCAAACTACGAGATGATGTGCAACAAATGATTCAATCTAAATAGAATAATTATAATTTGATAAATTAGTCTGCTAGTACATATTTTAAAGATAATGAAAGTTTTAAAAACCTGTTGGTGTATATCAATAGTTTGAATGTATCCGTAATTATAATATATACTTTGAAAAATGGCCAAAACACGTTCCAGTTCAAATGGTTGAGGTCCTTTTAATTGTTGTGTTAGCTATAATGAAAACGAAATTAGATAATTAAAAAAAATAATAATGATAATAATAATAATAATGATTATGATGAAAATGATAGCACTAGTGTTGCAAGCTAAATTACTTTTCAAAAATCCGAAATATTTTAGAATAATTTCGCCAGGGAGAACACTTAGGAACATTTAAGTTTAGCCTGCAATAACATATATTAGTTGTTACGGGCTAAATCATTTTCAAAATACGAAATATTTCGTCTGAGTAAAAATAATTTCGTCAAGGGCAAATATTTCGATTTAGCTCGCAACACTAAAATAGCACGTTAAAATTTAGTACCTTTGCAGGACTATTATCGAATGACTTTTGTTTTTTTGGTGTTCTAGACACTTTCGGTTTCCCACATGCTTTTATTGAAAAATAACGTTGATCAAGGTTTTGTGGAATATATGAACCTAAGAATGTTGCAATTAATAAATATAGCGACCATTGAGGTAGTTGATCCTCAAAATTAGCTGTTTAGAATTTAACAATTATAATTAATTATTATACAATTAATTATTATAATTACGTAAATATTTGATATTTTCAAACTCACCAGCTGATATATCTTGTAAATATAATTTATCCAATGATGCATTGAAATGTGACTTCAATTCATTGCATAACAGAGATATGTCATTTTTTGTTGCTAATATAAAATATAAATCAGAATGATTATTGAGAACCAAGACAAAGTTATTATATAACAAAATTTTCTTTCAAACCTCTTCCTTCCTGTACAGGTTCAATAAATTTATCAAAAAGGTCAGGCAGCAATCGGAAAAAATCAAATAAATCGCAATTTTCATAAAATGAATCACAAATGTTTTCAATAAACGCTTGGTAGAAAGATGGATCTTCGTCACCTGGACAACTTTTAATCAATATATGAATTATTTCATGTATTTTACGATTTATAATTCTGTTAAGGATTATATTATGTTTGACATAACTACAAAACTAATTTATAAAATCAGGATATCTTTTGTATATTCAGGAAAATATAATTGCCATGGTTCAGATATTCCCACGACAATTCTGAATTTTTCCCATGGAACTTGTGATATAAATATACAACAAAGGTTTAAACCAGTCTTAAATATAAAAAAAAATAAAAATATAGAATCGGTTTATTAGTATAAAAAAAATAAAAAATAAAAAATAAAACGTTAGAGAATTTCTTAAAGTGATGTAAAATCGACTTGCCCATTGAGGAAGAGCCAATAAAGCCGGAATTAATGTCGAAGATAAATCCCATAATATATCAGCATTATCAAAGATCTGAGCCATTAAATGGAAGTATTTCAGCTAATTTCGGACGCGTTTTTTGAAAATTAAAAGATTATTCCTACCATATATCTGGTTTCGGAATCATTTTCACATATTTCTTGTAATTTCATAACAAAATCGTTAACATTTTTGCAAGAAAATTGTTCACCGGTTAAATTGTTCAACGTAATTCCAAATAAATCTTCAACAGAAGAACAAATTTTACAGTCAAGGAAAGAATATTGACGGGAAGTGAAGCCAAGTTTAAATAGCCTTTTAACTAGTTCAGTCTTTCCGAGTACTCTATTTCCGTGAATGAAGATTGTAGGTGGTGTCTTTTCTGTTGGCTAGTTAAAATAAATAAAATTCAGGTATTTCTCGGTCGTTTTTTTTCAGATAATAAACCTACAAACGCAAAACTAATTTACCGTGCCAAACCAATTCAATAATGTTTCAATTTGACGCGTTCTTCCGGGAAATTCTTCAAACAGAACGTTTTTTAATTGTTTAGAGTCTAAGGCCATGTCTTAGAAGTTAAAAATCTGTTAGGTCACGTTCTTACGAATTTTACACAGCTAACTACGCCAAAAATCTAAAATTATAAAATAATTTTTAAAATAAAATAAAACATCTACTGTAATTGTTATACGTTAAAGTTGTACTAAAGTTATATACTGTACATAGAAGTCATATTTTATAAAAGAAAGTCAAAAAAATTTCTTTACAATTGCTTATAAAAAATTTACTTTCATCATCTAGTAACTCAGGAACCATTGAATGTGCCAGGTTGATGTCGCTATAATTTTTTTCTTTAACAAATTATTTTTTCTAATAACTGATAATTAAGTTTTAAAAAGTATTGGCCATACAAAAAAAAAATTTTTGAAAAAAAATTTCATATGTAAGGCCATACAAACTTAATTATAACCCGGCCGAGTCAAAATTTATAAAACTTTACGGTTGTTTTCATAAATTCTGGGACACCTAAAAATTTATTCGTTTCCTGAAATCTCTTCGGAAACTACGTCGCTATCTTCGGAACTTCGGTCGGGAGACAGCGATGTAGTTTCCGAAGAGTTAGATAATTCACAGAATAAAATCGAAGAGATTTCGGGAAACGAATAAATTTTTAGGTGTCCCAGAATTTATGAAAACAGCTGTAAAAAAAAATTTCAAGTATACTTACTATCCGGGTGAGTTTTTTTAAAAAAATCTATAAAAAATTTTATATGTTTTTTATATATATAATTTTTTGAAAATAAAATTAAAAACCGGGTTGCCGGGTCACTTTTGAAAATTTCCTGTTATAAAAACCGATTTATTACAGCTATTTTCATTATTCCTGGGACACATAATTAAAAATTAGACTGTCCGTTTCGATAAGTTCTTGATTTTCGGCATGATCATGCTAAAATCAAAAACTTATCGAAACGGACAGTCTAATTTTTAATCAGGTGTCCCAGGAATAATGAAAATAGCTGTAAGTTTGTACGGCCTAATTTATTATAAAAATCTCCGTCCGGATCAGTTTTTTAAAAAGATTTTAAAAAATTTCATAACTATCGTTAAGTTTTTATATTTTTCTCTAAAAAAAAAAATCATATTAAATTTTTTATAAATTAAAATAAAAAGCTGGGCTGCCGGGTCACTTTTAAAATTTTATGTTATGAAAACCAAGAAATTAACTTACTACCCGGGTATTATTAAATACCCGGGTTGACCCGGATAAATACTATGTTATTCAAGCAGAAAACTTTACTCGGGTACAAGGCTTTACTGTATTTTCATAAATTTTTGTTGACTCGTTATTTCAAAGAATTATTATTATTTTTAGAATTATTATTATTACAGTATTATTTTCAATTCATTTCTATTTTACTGATTAATTTAATAATATTGGAATTTTTTATCTTAAATTTAAACAACAATATAGAGGGTTTTGTATATTAAAAATGAAGTAAAAAGAAAACCAAAATCTATAATTTGAAGAATATTGTAAAAAAATTAGTTGAATTATTTGACAATATTTTGTAATTGATTTTAAAACTTTAAAATACATATAATTTATATTTATTGTTATTGCTAAATTAATAGTTTGAAAATTTGAGTTTTTTTTTTTTCCTTTAACAGTCTTATCATAAAACTTTATTAGGTTGTCAACATGTAAATATCCTACTTATTATATTATGACTTTAGTATCTAAGAATCCTCTAATTTCCTAAGTTTGACATTATTCAGCTACTACTAAGAATACTTAAATATGACTTGTTATACTGGTTATTAGAACCAGAACTATAATATCAGATTGCTAAAACTAGGTCTTTTCTAATCTAACTAATACTAAATTAAAAGTTATTAATACTTAGTAGCAGAAAAAAATAAAAATTGTTACTATTCTAAAAGCATTAAGCTTATTAACAAAGAAAAACTTGATCCAAATCATAAAAATTTTGTTAAGCAGTAAATATAATAGAAAGAATAAAATACATAAAGAAAATAAAAGAATAACTAAACACCTTATAATCTGAGTTAGACTTAAAAATTTTAAGTTGTGCAACTTATAATCTATTTTGAAAATTTTCTTTCTAATATATAATTCATCTTTAAAATTTAAAACCTATAGTACTGAGGTTATATAATAGACTAAACAACAACTAAAGTATATAACTTTGTTTACTGTATAAGGTCATATATTCACAGAGTATTTCTAAAAATAAAAGAAGTAAACAATGCTAATCTTTTGTAGAAGAGAATTTAGATTCCCTACTTTTGTTAAGAAAAATAAAAAACTAAAGAAAAAAGCTTGTAATATATTATTGTTTTCAGAGATCTAAAGAAGTATATAGACAAAATAATTTATTATTCTTCTTTTTAAGTTTTTTTTCACCAACTTTGTTAACAAAGAGCTTTTTTTATGTTTCTTTACTAAAATTTTTTATACAAGGATTCTATCTACTAATTATCTTATATAATATTGCTTTTAGCTTATATGTTAAATATACAAAGAAGTCTCAGTAGAAAGCTTAGTTGATCTTTGTAAAAATTATTATATTATAAAAGAAACTTCTTTATTATCTTCAATAAATTTTTGTTTTTAGCTTTTTCAAATTTTTGAAAAAAAGGATTCAGTAATTTTTCAGTATTTAAAATTTAATAATAATAATAATAATAATAATAATAATTTATAAATAAGATTCTAAAAATATAAAATAATTATATATAGACTCTATTTTAATAAATTTTAATAGTTTTTACTAATATCTTATAATATTGTAAATAAAATTTAACAATTTTAATACTATTCAAATTATCTTATTAAGATGTATTAAATGGTATCAAAATTATTAAATTTTAATTATTAGATTACAAGTTATTTAATATTTTTTAAAGTCTGTTTAAGTTGTAATATCTAGAGCTATTAATTAATCTATCTAGTTTAGTTCAGTTTAAAAACTAATAGTTTTTTAAAATAACTAGACTAAACTATGGTTTAAGACTGAATAAAACTATTTAGAGTTAGATCAGATAAACTGATTATTAGATTAATAAAATATTGTTTATTTAGTATCAATACAGAATATTATATTATATAGTTAAAAAGAGCTATTTATATAAAGGTTTTGAATTGAAATCTAAATTTTTTTAATATAA